GGGGTCGGCCCGGCCCGGCCCGGCCCGCCCTGCTGTGGCCCGGTGCTGGCCGCGGATGCGGCGCGTCCCGCCCGGCCGCCGCTAAATGCTGAGCAGGATGGAGGAGTTTCCGAGCGAGGAAGAGGAGCCCTGGTACGACCAGCAGGACCTGGAGCAGGGTAAGGGCGAGGGGGCCGCACGGCGGAGCGGGAGCAGCACCGGGCAAGGGGCACGGCCGGAGCCCCCCGCTTCGCGCAGCCGGCCCTGGAATCCCGGCCCTGCCAAGTTCAGAGCCCCTTGGGATGCAGGCAGGGAGCCCTGCTCCGGCCGCAGCGCCAGGAGGGGCCGTTTTGGTGCGTGCCCCAACACGGGGGCCCCCAGCAAACTTGCTGCGGGGGAGCAACGAGGGGCTGCTTTAATCCCAGCGCTGCTCAGGTTAGCCCAAACGCTGCTTGGAAATGGATACGGCAGCAATAATTGGCTGTGGAGCTGAGGATGCTGAAAGTGTCTCCCAAAGGCTCCCGCTGCACCAGCCTAAACCCAAGGGGAGCCGAAGCTTCTAAATCACCAAATTACTCGTAGAGATTTTATGAGGCAGCCATAAAAGCAGGAGGAATGGGAAAGGAGAGGAAAATCAATGTTCTTTCCAACAGCAAAATGAGGTTGGCTGTAGAAAGACAAACACTTGCGTAGCAGGCTTTAAAGTAACTGTGCTTGCGTTCGCGCTGGCTTTGTACCATCTTTGTCTTGATGCTGGACAGGGTGTATTTGGAGATTTTAGGGTTTTTTTTTGTGTGTGTTTTGGATTTTGGGGGCTTTTTATTTTTGCTTAATGTTTTGAGTTAACATGCAGTAAGCAGCAGCTGGGAGAAGTCCCGTGTCAGGTGAGCGGCCCCCAAAGGAACCAGGATAGTCCCTGTGCAGGGAAAGTCACTTACGCCCAGGCAGAGGCACTTACTTGACCAGGAGGACGTGCGGTCCCGATCTCAGTGCAGCGCCGCTGCCTCGGCCCTCCGCTACATTTGGACAGGATGCAAAGTTTACCCAAGTTCCTGCAGGCCAGAGGCTCCGCAGGGAACGACAGGGACCCCGGGGGATTTTCACCACGGGTTTTAACCCCAGCTGCTCCGCTAGGGGTGGTCGCCCTGAGCAGGCCCCGCTCTGCTAAGCGCCGTGCTGGGCTTGAGCCAGGGCAGGAGCAGAGCTGGAGCTCCCTGCGGGACGAACAGGGCAGCCTTTGACCGCTCACCAAATCGCATCTCTGGTGACGTCCTGGCGCGGCTCCCCGGGGCCCCAGGGCCAGGATGGGGCTGGGGAGCAGCAGCGCCAAGGACGAGCACGGGAGGCTCCAGCACCACGAGTGTGATGGGTTTTCAGCCGAGCACTGTGGCCGCACCGAGTTCATGAGTCAGCACTGGGGAGGTGCCGCCCGGAGCACCTCGCCGTGGGCGGCCGCGTCCCCAGCTCCGTCCCCGCCGCGCATGACTGGCATCCCATGCCGCACAGAGACCCCCCCTTGGAGGAAATGCAGGAAGCGACCCCCAACAAAGCCCAGCTGTGGGATGTGCAGCCTCCTGGAAGCAGGAGGGGGCCTGGGGTGTCTTAGGCAAAGCCAGGAGGAGGGAGCTGGGGGAGGCTGTAAGTGAAACCCACGTGTGGGGAAGGTCCTGGGGGGCGACTGCAGGCACCATTAACTGGAGCGCTGCACAAAGCGCCACTAAGGCCAGCGCGGGGTTGTGCCCGCGCCCGCCGTGGCCTCGATGGCAATGTCCAGGGGCCTCTGGTGACTGCACAGCCGGGGCTGGTCCAGCTCAACGCGCTCACAGCGGGACAGCAAGGACAGGGACAGGCCAGCGGGCCCAGGCCGCATGTGGGTGGCTGACAAAAGCACCGGCCAAAAGAGGCTCCTTAGGAGCCTGGGCCGGGAGAAAGAAAAGCCGGGAGAAGGTTTCTGCACGAGCCGGGTGCTTGCCGGGCCTTTATCCCTGTTTCCCAGTATCATCAAATATTTATTACATTTACATCCCAAACTCTTTGCTAAGCAACGGCTGGCTTAACCGGGAGCTCTGCGATGCTTGTGTTAATTAACCATTTTAGCCCCGCCGCATAAATGGTGTCTCCAGCTCCTCTCCAAGCACCTGTTACTTCCTGCCCCTGTCCTCCAGCTCTGGCCCGCTGAAATAATACGGGGAGGGGGAGCCAACAAGCCGCAGTCCCTCCGGTTTTCCGAGCCACCCCCGGGCCTCGGAGAGGCTGGAGCTGGTTCCTTCGCAGCCTGGCTCCGATGGAGTTGGAGCTGCTCCGCTTCCTCTACGCGTTTCACCCGCTCCGAGGGCTCATACTGACCTCGGGAACCAGCCAGCTGACTGGCTAGTGACAGGGAACAGTGCTGGTGTCCCTCGCGGTGCTTTGTCCCTTGCTGTTCCTTTCCTGACGTACGTAAAGCCCCGTGGTGCTCACTGCTTGCTCGCCGGGCTGTGCTCCTTTGCCAGGCTTTGGCAAGCCCAGTCCATCGCACCTGCATCCAAACAGAGCAGAGACCCAGCCCAGCAGCTACCTGCAAGTCACCTCTAGCCTCAGCTTCCCTCCCGCTCTCCTGAAGCGGATCCTTCTCTCCACCCTGCCAAATTCCCCAGTTTTCCCAGCCTCCCCATGCCAGAGCCTAGGTTGAGCCAAAAAGCACCGGAGTGCGGCCCAAGAGGAGGGCTCCAAGAGCCCCTGGACATAACACGAGCCTCAAGACACGTCCCCGTGCGCAGTGGAACCGCCTGGCACGGCTCCGGTGCCAACGGGAGCGGAGACGCTCCGAGAAGCGGCACAGCACCTCGCTGCCGCCGCAGGATTCATAGTCCTCTCCTCCCGGGAGGCCACACAGACTTTTGGGCCAAGCTGCCTGCAATGCAGAATTAGGGCTTGGTGGCTCTAACCTCTAAAGGTCTCCAGATCTAAGCATCTTATTTTAATTCCTCCCCTGGCCAAGCGTGCTGTTGCTTGCATGCTAAGAGGGAAAAGGACACAAGGTGCTGAGCTTGCACCGCTCCCACCTCATCCATGCAAAGCCGGGGGTCACAGGCAGGCTGGGATCCAGCGTGTGCAGGGCACCAGCGCCAGCATCCCCCGGCAGCCACAACTGCCCCTTTTCTGTCCCCAACTTCAACAGGGCACCCGTAAAGCTGCGACGCGCCAGCAACTCGCCCAAGTCCTTCACTGCCTTGAGGAGACGTTATCCCAGACGCCTGGATTGGGGAATAAGCCACAGGGTTTGAGAATAAGCCAGGAGCACAGCGGTTAACATGCTGTCCTTCCTCCCCAGCTGGCAGACAAGGGACCGGGCTGTCCCTGCAGCAGCCGAGACACTTGTGTGCGGGAGCTCCCGGGAGCAGGGAGCTTTCCATGGCTAAATGCTGAACTGAAGGGGAACCTCAGGCATGGAAATGACAGAGGGGACCAGAAAGCCACCAGCAGACACAAAGTAAACTGACATTTAGGTCAGGCTTTCCCATGAGGAAGTGATGGGAAGCTTCAGATTTGGGGAAAAAGAATATATATATATATATATATATATATATATATATATATGTGCCTAGGATGCAGATTCCCTTGGTACATGGGGAAGGCAAGAAAAGAGGGTCCTGCACCACAGCTCTCAGGATACCCCTCTGCTCTCACACTGAAACCCCTTTCTCCAGCTGCTGAAGCCAGGCACATACTTCCAGCTGTGGGAGGGAATGGAATTAGAGGAGAAGGAAGAAACTGGAGAATTTTCTCTGTCTCGCATCTGGGAGAGCCGCTAAGCAAGGTGCTGCTTGTCAGCACGGTCACTCATCAGCTCCATCCGCAGCACCCCCATGCCCAGGAGCACGGAGCATCCCGCCGCTGTCACCCTGCAAGCAGAGCCTGTCCCCACCATGGAGGCGTTTTCCACCCTCATTCATCTCTCTGGTACCAGCCAGCGCCGGCCGGTGACAGGGCACGGAGCCCGTGTGACAGGCGGAGCAATGACAGCACAAGGGCCTGGTCCTGCCTCTCTGGAAAGCAGCGCTGGTGCCGGGGCCACTGCAGAGCCTCTCGCTTCCAGGCAGCCACGCCGCTGCGGAAGGGCCTTTTGCAGGGAAGCGCAAGGGAAGATCCCTGCCCCACGGGGCTCTAGAGTTGCTCCGCCTGCTCCTACCAGGTGCAGCTTCAGGGCTTCCAAAACCGCTACTTAATGTGCTCCAAAACACATACACAGGCCAAGGGTTTTGGAGAATACGCCTCTCAGTAAATACCTTAGAGGAGTGAGACCAGATGTTCGACAACTGGTCTCCAAGCAGCTGGGAATTTTAAACTGACTTTCTGTCGCTCTCGGTTTGTTTTTACCCACGAATCCTAAGCAGACAGCTACAAACCTTCCCTCCGCAGGCGGCAGGTTCGTTTGCAGCTTCACACAATGACTCATTTGCACTCTTTTGGCCAGTTGCTCCAGCTTATCCTAGTTTAGTACATGTTGCAGCCACCTTGGTACTTCTCTGTTAACTTGTCTCCTCCTTGCAAACCTTGGCAGTTAGAGCATGCAGCAGCCAGGGACGTTATCCTGCTGTTTTCCCAGGCAAGGGCTCGGTCCTGGAAGAGACACAGGATCCAGGGCCGGCGCGGGAGGCAAAGCAAGGAGCATCCGCGGGGCTGGGGCTGCTCCTGGAACTGCCAAACCACTGGGGACATGCAGGGCCACCTGTGCCCCTGGCAAGGGGACAGCAAGGGCGGCCTGTGACCGCCAGGATCAGGACAGCACCTTGCGGGAACACGGTCGGTGCAGAGGGTTGTTCCCTTCCGCACGTACCAGCTCCCCTGGCTCCCTGGTCCATGCCAGGAGCCACACGTGTTTCCTCCCCTCTAATCCTCCCCTTCCATCCCAGCTCGGTCACAACCTCCTGCTCCACAAACCAGGGCATCCACCCACACATCCCTGGGGCTTTAGCACAGACCAAGCCCATGCCCAGCGCTCTGCATCCCGTCCTAATCCCCGCACGCAGGGGAGCACCCGCCTCCCTTCCCTCGCCCTCTTCCCCCTTCCCCTCCACAGCAGCTCTGTTCTTACATGTTCAGGGTGCTCTGCGATCCAGGGCAGCCTCCAAGCTCCCTGCAGCCACCAGAGCCAAAGCAAACAGCCACGGAAGCTGCTTGGATAAGAGAGCAGCAGGGAAAGGCCCAACTGTGATTTAACAAAACACTCCGGGTTATTTTGTTCCACCAACGTGGCAAAACACACGCTGTCATGGGCTGGAAACCGGGCTGCTCTATACGTGTCTGTATAGACACATATGTCTCACAAGAAGCATGCTAGGGCTCACACCACACAGATTCCTCCATCACCTGCTGTGGAGCAGCAGCGAGAGTTGATCTTTGCTGTAACGAACCCAGGCGTTGCAACCCCTTGCAACTAAGAAGAAAAACAAGTGAGCAGCAAGTACACCCTTCCCTGGGGTAAATCAGCACAGCATCATTTATTTACATGTTGAAAGGAATAATTGCACCTAAGCTTGACTCTACGTAGCCGTGTGTAATGGGGCAGACAGCAAGAGCAATTAAATTCAATGTCAACAGCATTAAACATCAGCTCTCAACTCTCAGCCAGGGCCATCCCTCAGCTCCTGAGCTCCCTGAACCTCCTCTCAAGACCCCTGCACCAGCTCCAATAGCCATTCCTGGGCTCTGGGTCAGCCTTGGTCCATCCCGGCCCCGGGCTAGAGCTCAATAGGGGGAAGGTATTTGAAGATACAGGGCACAGAGGCCTTGGCCTTCATCAGGCACAGCAGCTGTTGAGCCCTCGCCAGCAGAGGCACCTTGTCCCACAGCCTATATGGTTGAGTTGCCCAGCATGCCCATGAGATGTTGCCAGATACCTGTTGCTGGTCCCCAGGCTCTTCCACTCAAGCACAGCCTTCCACAGGTTCTGGCTCAGGATCTTCGGAGGTTTGTTCCGAGATGCAGACCCGTAGGAGCCATGGTCAGGGCTAGGAGCAACAAAGATGTGAAGATATTAAAGCTCTTCACCTGCATCATCCCCACGATGCCACAGGTTGGGGACCCCCAGGAGTCCAACAGGTGGGAAGAGAGGGCTCAGCTACGAGGGAATGACGGAGACGGGATGGCAGGGGCTTCCTCTGTCTCACACAGCTCGATGACTGCCACTGTTTAGAGACACTAAAGGAACCTATTTCCCCATATCCTTCGAGTCCAGAACCTCCCAGGCCCTTACGCCCAAAGTGGAAGAGCCAACTGGCTGCTTGGAGCTCAGCCCCATCCTTTCTTCCCCACTTCTCCCCAAACTCTGCCCATTTCCCCCATTAAATTATTGCTGACAGAGCCCTTTAAATTACAAGGCGGGCTCCTGTGCCGCCTAATCCACTTAACTCAACCCCAGCTGATTAAATTGGATGCCATATGGTGGGCAAGCACTGATGTAATCCGCAGGGACGGGGCCGCTCTCGACTCCTTCCCCGAGCCCAGCGCAGCCGCCGTCTCTGCCGTGCCGGGGCTCTCCTTGCTGCATCGCTCCGTCAGGATGGGACAGTGCCATGCTGGTCACCAGCAGCAACGCAGGCTCCATCAATACAGCCTAAAGGCACAAATTCCCATGCGGCTCTGCCAGCTGCTCCCGCTGCTCCCCAGCCAGGTTATTGCACGCTCCGTCCCCCCAAAGGCACTTTGGAAATCGGAGGAATCGCATGGCTGTGAAATAGGTGAAGGACATCTGCCCAACGCCTTGATGACGCTCGTGGCTGCGCTGGCAGCTCCCAGACCAGGTCACCGGCAAGTTGTGATTATTGTAATTAAGAAGGTCACATCCTAGACTAGCCATGAGTGGCAGATCCCGCTCCGCACACACCATGGCATTGCCAATCCTTGTGCAGCCACGCACTGCAAAGCCACCGTGGTGGAAACAGAAAGTAATAGCACACATTAATAACTGCTCCTCACCTTCTGCTGTTGGAGGCTTTGTGTGAGATTTTCAGTCTTAGCTGGAAATTCACCTTTTAAATCTGCATGGAACCTGGGAACCCCCCTGAGCCCAGCAGACAGGGCTTAAAGCAAACAACCAAGGGCTGTGGATGTGGGAGGGTTTTGCAGGAGGCAGCTGTGCCAGCCAAGAGCCACAAACAGCATCACCTGAGGCACGGAAACAGCTGACACGGCAAGACATGCAGGGCTCTGGGTATTTTTTTTTTTTTTTTTTTTTTTTTAAAGCGGGAGGTGACAAATCCAGTATTTCAGCTGACCACACAATTAACAATCATTTCCCTGCACTTCTCCGAAGGTCTGCGATGCCAGCCTTTAAAGCTGAAAGGTTTTTTTAAAGGTTTTGAGGGAGTGGAAAAGGGGGAACATGAGGTCTCAACAATCTCTGCATCACCAGCTTCCCTCAGCCTGCAGCCAAAGCTTTGGTGCACGCAGGGAAGAGCCAGGAAAGCCCCGTCCCCCTCCCGTGCCCTTCGCTGGCCGCTGCTGACAGCGAGGCAGGAATGGCCAGGAGACCCCACGCTGCCCCCGTGCCCATTGAGGGACGCTGGGGACAGCCCTGTGTCACCGGCGGGTGCTGGTGGCCCCAGGACCACAAAGCCGGAGGAGGACGAGGCCGAGCAGCCGCCGGCGGTGCAGGGCGTCCTCAGGGCACGCGGGGTTTTATTACTGGTGTCAGGCTGTTAGCGAGTGATGGATGGAGGCCGAGAGGGGAGGCAAGACACTGCCTTCGTTAGAGATAATAATATAATTTACAGAGCACCCGGGGCCTCGTGGGGCTTTACCAACCTTGCTGTCATCCTGATGGATGCGGAGCCCCTCGCAGCCCCCTCAGGCCTCGGCAGCCAGGATTGGGGACACCAAGCATTGGCCATGGCCAGGTCTTGGGGACCTGGCTCCCTGTGTCTCCGGATCCTGCCCCGGTCCTGAGCTCCCCTCCTGCCTCTCTTTTTCAGACTTGCATTTGGCGGCCGAGCTGGGGAAGACGCTGCTGGAGCGCAACAAGGAGCTGGAGGACTCGCTGCAGCAGATGTACGCGACCAACGAGGAGCAAGTGCAGGAGATCGAGGTAGAGCCGCAGGGACCACCCGGCCCCGTCACCGCGGCACAACCAGCCTGCGCCAAGCGACCTGCCAAAGCGGGTGGGAGGTGAAGGCCCTTCCATATGTGTCCGACTCAGGGCGGATTAAGGCCTGGATGAGGTTCCCCTTCCTGCACTAATGGGTATTTCCCCTGCTTCGCTCATTCCTTTCTCCCCAGATGTGCACGGCAGATCTGTGAACCAGCACGGGCTGCATCTGGGGCACATCTGGCCTCTCACTGCCTGCACGCCAGCCATTGCACCCATCCCTCTACACAACTTTGCTCCACTCCTGCTCCTCCCTGATTCCTGTTATTCCCTGTCCTGCCTGTGCCCCTCAACTCTGCTGACCCAGAACCCTGCTCCGTGCCTCCAACTAAGCAGCTTTCCTAGGAGCTGCAACCTGAAGCGCTGCTTCCCGCAGCCATTGGGATCAGGGGACTGATTCCAAGAGTCCCCGGAGCTTAGAGGCTTAAACCTATTGTACAGTGAGGCGTACTTCCAGGCATCTGGAAACCACAAAAAAAAAAAAAAAAAAAAAGGTCGAAAACCATCTGCATTAAAGAGATGCAGGGCAGAGAAAGGGCAGGAGCTGGCACAGGGAGCATGAGGGCTGCAAGGGGCTGAGGACTTAAGTGCGAGGACACCAGCCCTTAGTAAAGGGCTGGTCTTCAAAAATAAATAAATAAATAAATGAATAAATAAATATCACCTTTTTCAGCAAAAGTAGTGAGCCCCAGAGATCTGGTTCCTTACACAGGTGCAGCCCTGACCCACTGGTGCTGCAGAGAGGCATTCCAGGGCTTTGCAGAAGGTCTTTCAGTAGCAGACTTGCTGCAAACCAGCAAGGCCCAGGGGCCTCCTTGCATTTCATGGACTCAGATTCTAAAGCCCAAATTCCTAAGGAAACGCAGCTTCTGTGGTTGATCTGTCAAACGATCCCATAACCCCCGGGCAGCTTCCGTGCACCTTGGCGAAGGGGTTCGGTCACAGGGATATCAGCTTTCTTTGAGTTTTGTGAGTAAAGGAGCAGCTGGGTAGACAGCACTCGTGCTCGGAGGGCAGGGGAAGTTCAGTTCTATTTTAGACACAGAAACATCTACGGAGGCAGGGGCAAGTATGAGTATTTCACCTGGAAGTGGCTCCAGGCAGGTAGCGGGTAACACCATATCAAGGAAGTGAAGGTAGTGGGAACCCCTATTGCAAAACACCCTGGACTTTGCCTTCACTTTGGCCTTTCTTGCAGTACCTGACAAAGCAGCTGGAGATGCTGCGGCAGATGAACGAGCAGCACGCGAAGGTCTACGAGCAGCTGGACCTGACGGCGCGCGACCTGGAGCTGGCCAACCAGAAGCTCGTGCTCGAGAGCAAGACGTCGCAGCAGAAGATACAGTGGTGCGGGTCCCTCCTGCCCTAGAGCGTGGGCGGGTGACATTGGGCCACCCTTGGGACGAGGACTTCGGAGCTGCTGGGAGGGAGGCACAGCAGCCTCTCCTCCTCAGCACAGGATTTTCCTTGAAGGAGAGGAAAATATTCATTAGAGAGGGCCAGAGCAGGGACAGAGCTGCTGGGGAAACCCTGTCCAGCCTGCGCTGCAACCCCGGTTTGTTGATAACTTCCCGAACAGGCCCGTGCCCAAGGTCATCCCTGCAAACAACGGGCACGTCCTTCATCCTGTGTCTTTTGCAAGTGGCTGCACGGAGAGGGGATTTTAGCACGGGGAGTTTTACCAACTCAATAGCCAGGGTAAAAGTGTGTCTCTGGACAGTCTCTCCTTGTTTATTTGTGCAGGAGAAACAAGGGGGGAATGAATGGGTGCCAGCTTGCCTGAGCCTTTCAGTGCAGTGCACCCCGAGTTAGCACTGACACCCTAGATGTGACAGTTTCAGCCAACCGATGCAAGAACAGGTCACAAATTAATACGATCCCCTGTTTCAATTGCAAACCCTGCTCTGGAAACACCCCCGTGCGAGAGGGCCTGGGCAGAGAGGGCCTTCATGGCCCCTGCCATGAAGAGCAAGGACTCAGCTCCCTGGCACACACAAGAAACGTGGGTTCTGCAGATGGGCTCTCTCCTTACGGAGCGTTCGGAAGAGCCATGCCTGCCTCCTCCTCACCTCTGCTCTCCTTCTTTCTCTCTCTGCCTCGCTGCAGCTTGACAGAAACCATCGAGGGGCTGCAGAACCAAGTGGAGGAGCTGCAGAAGCAGGTGGAGGAAATGCGGAGCTTGGAGCAGCTGCGCATCCGGCGGGAGAAGAGGGAGCGGCGCCGCACGATCCACACCTTCCCCTGCCTTAAGGAGCTGTGCTCCAGCCCCAGGTACGGAGGAGCAGGGCTCAGCCTCCCCGCTGACACCTGCCCCGCTCCTGGGGCCCACGGAGACCCACACGCTCCCGTGTGCGGGTCCAGGCTAAACCCTCGGGGCTACAACGTGACGATGGAGACGATGCTTCTGCGCCCGCCTCGGCTGCCGGCGAGGCAGAGCCTGCCCACCGCGCGTGGTCGCTCCTGCTGGAAACCCCGGCGCCGCGTTAATCCATTGACCTCACGAGGGCATTTCTTGCTCAGCTCTATCTGTAATTGAACCTTCTTTAAATAGAGAAGCAATCAATAAACTTCTTTACCGACCGCGTCCGCTGCCAGAGGATGCGAACAGCCCACATTGTCGCTGCAGCGGCAACGGGGATGCTCTAAGGGCACAATCGAACCCCCAGCAAAATCCACTTAATGTCCGTGCGGTTCTTGTCCCCACCACTCCCCAGGACTGCTCTGCCCTGGGCTGCAGTTTGGCTTCCAGCAGTTGCTTTGAAGGTCACTGGGCCTTCTAGTAACTTGGAAATCTGTTCAATAACCCATCACCAATCATGTCTCCCAAGGGAAGCACTGGTGCCTTTATTTTTTTTCCCCTTCCCCTAAATTTGTTCTAAAAGATAGGATGCTGCAGCCACTTTGTCGAGGAAAAGGCAAAACAGCTTTTTTGGGAAACATTATTTTACATCTCTAATTTGGTTCCGCTGAGGCGAGCATTGAAGAAGGGGCAACACTGTCAAAAGTCCCTTTCCACCTCCATCTTCTGTTTCATAAATCTTCTCCCACTCATCCTGGAGCATTTCCCAGACACAGAAAAGCAGAGCCAGCACTTCTAGTTTTGGACCATTTTCATGTTGTTGTTATTTCTTTTTTCTTTCATTTATTTGTTTTAAGTCTAGAGGCAGCAGTGAGAAGGAGAAATCTCTTGCTCTGTGATCTCAGGTTCTCACTTGATTCTTTCTTCTCCGGGCATCCATGGAGCTACTTACATGACCATAAGCCACAATCTGAGGAACTCACAGCCTGTCCTTCGGTTAATCCCTCTCAAGAGTCTTTTTCCTCCCCTCTTTCAGGTACGAGGACGCATTCCAGGTCCATAGCTCTTCCACGGAGTTCAACCAGAAGCCTCTGGAGCGGGAGAACGAGCGTCTGCAGGCCATGGTGAACTCCCTGAGGTCCCAAGTGAACCAGGAGAAGCAGCGGAAGGAGAGGGTGGAGCGAGAATACACGTCGGTCATTCAGGAGTACTCGGACCTCGAGCAGCGAGTGTGCGAGATGGAGAACTGCAAGCTGCGCATCAAGGAGCTGGAAGCGGAGCTCCTCGAGCTGCAGCAGATGAAGCAAGTCAAGAAGTATCTGCTCAGCAGAGAAGACAACTTGTCGGAGGCCCTCCTGGAGCCGCTGAATAACGCCCCAGAGGCGGACTACATCGACCTCTCTGAGGAAGAAGGAGGGAAAAGCCACGGGCCGTCCATGACGCCCTCCCCGAACCACCCGGTGCGCAAGAGCTGCAGCGACACGGCCCTCAACGCCATCGTCACCAAGGATGCCGTGAGCCGGCACGAGGGCAACTACACGCTGCACGCCAACAACGTGCGCAAGCGGGGCATGTCCATCCTGAGGGAGGTGGACGAGCAGTACCACGCGCTGCTCGAGAAGTACGAAGAGCTCCTGAGCAAGTGCCGGCAGCACAAGGACAGCGTGCGCCACGCGGGCGTCCAAACGTCCCGCCCCATCTCTCGTGACAGCTCCTTCAGGGATTTCCGGGGAGAGGGGCATGAGCTGGAAGAGCGGAAAACCATGGAGAAGACCATCACCAAGCACGTGGAAGCCGTGGACAAGCGGCTGGAGCAAAGTCAGCCCGAGTACAAAGCTCTGTTTAAGGAGATCTTCTCCCGCATCCAGAAAACAAAAGCGGACATCAATTCAACAAAGGTGAAAAACAAGAGCAGCAAATGAGTCCTGGCTCTGCAGGTCCTACCTGCAATCTCATCAGCCAGGTCTTCTCTTTAGCCCCAGGAAACGTTCTGTGGCCCCACTGCTTTGAAGGTTCGTGAGATCTCATGTTATATTCTTGTACGGGAAGGAGACTCTTAAAGCAAGAAAATGTCACGGAGACTCAAGTCACTTTTTTAAGCTAGGGCTCTGGGCAACTTGTTGGGAAAAAAAATTGTACATGGTAGTTAGAGGATTTGAGAAACTGAACGATGAATCTCTGCATGAGTTGCTGCCGCAGCCAGAAATCACAACAGCAACAAAACCCACATCTCAAAAAAGAAAACCGATCATTTCCTCCCTCCTTTTCAGCTTGTCTTACAGCCTCTCTGATTATCTGCAAGCAAAAGCCTGGATGTCCTCCAGTGTTCTGCGCCAGCTGGAGTGCAGTGCTACAAAATAAAACTGAAAAAGCCATCGGAACTTCAGGGGCCGCTTGGGAGCATCAGCCCAACCCCTCCCCTTTGGCTTTATGGCTAAGAACCTGTGCTTAAACCCGAGAGACCTTCACCTAACCTTCCCCTTCCCTAAAGGGCAGTATGTTCTTGCTATCTAAGCCATTCTCTTAGCAGTCAGGTTTTTCAGCTCTTTACAATGCAAGCGCATCGCAACTGGACAAACTTGAAGAGAAACATAGAACCGGTTGTCCTGTCTCCATCAGCATCGCCCGGTACTTCAGCCCATCCTCTCCAGGCTTTGCAGGCGAACGGGATCCCCTTGCTTGAAATCCGCCCCGATCCCTGGGCGCAGGTCACTCGCTGCGCAAGGAGGAACCTGATGAGCAGGGCTTTCCTATAAGCCAGGCAACAAGTGCTATTACAGCATCGGAGGCATCAGCCCTCCGTGCTGTTCAAGAGGCTGCCGTGGCCCCATCGCCACGAGCTCCTTGGATATACAACCTGCATGGGCTTCCAAACCCGCCCGCTAGACTCACCCGCAGGAGGAGGAGAACAGCAAAGCACCACGTAGAGCAGCAAGAGCCCCAGCCCGGCCCTGCCGCCGACCCCAACCCGCCCCTCGCTTCTGCTCTGAATACCCTTCCCAGAGGAGACGACGGATTTCAGTTTCTGCTGAAAAACAATCGGCCTCGGCCGAGTTTCTATCTCCCCGGGTTGCACCTCTCATACTCCAGTTCCCTTTCCAGCACTGAGATCTCCTCGCTGCTGCAGACACACACACACACACAGCCAGACGGCCACCGCAGTCTCAGGAATCACCAGTTTCCATTTTTCGTAGTCTACATGTTGACCGTGCTAGGTCAGGCGTGCGTTTTAGGCAGAGAAGCAGCATTTCATTACAGCTTAGGCACCATCCAGAGCGCTGAGCCACAGACATTATTAATACAAATAAAAACAAAAGCAATTCTGTATAAGCTACCTATCCTGTACCTGCCTGGAGAAACTTTAGGCCAGATTTGGATTCTCTATCCACCCATTTACATCCTCCCAAAATCCCAAGATTAGGGATTTTTATTATATTGACTAAAATAAATCCCATTTTTGAAGGGGAAGGCCATAAAAATGTAATTACAATCCAAATCTAGGGCCATAACATTTTGAGGAGCTACCTTTCTTTCACTCCCAGTGGCATTAATATTGCAAATATGCCCCTCTCAGCCCTTTCTTTGCTCAGATGCTCCCCCGAGGCTGGCACGAGGTGATGCCCACCTCACACTGCAGCCTCCCACTTCAGTTTCCCCTTAAATTCCCATTCTGGAATTGCCCCCCTCAAGCCACCCACCACCAAACGCTTTTCTCTTCCATGCTCTGCATTTTCAGGTGCCCCATGGCCCCAGATTCCAGAATCACTAGGAGCCACGTGCACTATTGTGGCGACCAGCTCTGTAACAGTATGGAGAACCTTCATGCCTTATTTATTTATAATGGAAAGCAGTTGTATAAAAAAAAAAAAAAAGAAATAAAATAAAAATGAACAACAGCAACAAAAGCGGCGTCAAGCTGATTTTCTCCGAGCATTTGTCACGGCAGCTGCTGTCAACACCCTGCACTTAAACATTTGTACTGGGGGAGAGCTGGAGCAATGTGGTTTCAAGTCATCCTAGGTTCGCTGTGCAGTCACCATTGCATAGGATCTCCTTCACTTTCTGCTCTAAATATTAGCATGTGAATCAACATCACAGCTAAGCGCAGACTTTAAATATAGATTAGATTTTAAATATATTTTAAAATGCTTTACTCTTTTTGTAAATAGAAACACCATTTCTCACAAAGCTGAGGCTTTTTTCTTACGGCTCCTTTTACTTCTGGGTACAGCAGGAGAGTTATGTCTTTGATTTTCATGTATGATTTGGGTCAAGAAAATGCTTCAGGCTTCTTTGTGGAAAGCACAGAGAACATAGCAAGCTATATTGCTACAATATTTATATAACATTTTATATATTTGGACTGCTAATATTTGCCACATGAAAAAAAAAAGAAGTTCTTTTGTCAGCTCTGAAGTCTCTATCAAACTGCACAATTTCTAAGCTGGCAATTCAAATGCTATTTTTGTTTTGGCTTTTCTTGAAAGCCATACATCAGAAAATGACTGATGGAAGTAACAGTGTTTGGTTTAACAAAAGGACAGCTGCAAGATATCAGCAGTTTGTTCAGCAAAATGCTGAGGGCATTTTTCCTGCTTCTGAAAATATTAGTGGGCCTATATAAATATGGTCCCAATGACTGTGTGATTCATAGTCCCTTGATTTTTCTTAAGGGAAGATTTCAGTGACTAAAGCAGGAGAAAATAAGCATCTTCTGCCCTTTTAGCCCGCCTTCCATCTGATTTTTCCAATGTGCTTTGAAAATACTAAGTAAAACCACACAACTCCACTCAGAGTAAAAAGGGGGCATTAAACAATAACTCTGCTTACCACCCAAACTGGTCTAATAGAAAGCAACATGGGTTTAACAGCACACACTAATGCTTCCAGGCAGGAAGAGAACATCGTTGTAGCATATTAAAATGGATGAGGGGAAAAAAATGCTCCAGGAAACAATGCCTGATTCCAAGAATTTGCTAACAACACCCCTCTCCAGATGACACCATTGGGATTGATATGGGCTGCAGCTTGTCAAGAATTCAGCTTCATGCTCAATTTGAAATTTGGGGATATTTACCCACGTGCTTTTCCACCAGCTCCAACATGGCATCTTCCTTCAATACCCACACCTGATAAATGGCCCTGCAGAAAAGCAGCCATGATTAGGAACAGGTTGGGCCGCTTGAAGGATGAGCTCAAAGGCTTCATGGAGCAAGAAACCCCCCAGGGAGGAGAGACCCATTTCCTGGCCCAGCACAGGAGCGCGGGGCCGCTCACGGTCCAGCCCTGCCGCTGCCTTCCTGGCTCTTGCCCTCACTCAGAGGGCGACCGTGGGCACATCAGCCTTGGTACCAGGTTTTAGGGGCGTCTCGCTAGCCCTTCGCTCACCAGGGACTAACATCACCAAGGGGAGGGGGTTCAATTTCCAAGCCAGCATCAATATTGGGACAGCTCATTCCTCAAATCAAAAAGCGTGGCTCCCTTCTGGCCACAATGGAGCAAGTTCTTGCCGTGCCGAGCCCTGCCTTCCCAGAGAAGGCTCTGCTTTCAGTGGGGTCCAAGCAGCAATCATTTCTCTTCGTACAAACACTCCTTTGCAGCCTATACAGGCAATAAATCAGTCCGACACGTCCTTTCTCATGGGCCTGACTTTGATTCTGGTCCCTCCAAGCTCCTCTCCCAGCCTCGTGGCAGCTGCAAAACGCCGCCTTTCTTGGCCCATGCCACCAGCACAAGGGCAAAGCTGACACGCTGGGCAGCAGTTGGCAAAATGAGTCATCTCGCTTTGGATGCCGTGGCCACCCCTCTGGCCACGAATCACCGCCGCTTACCCGCTCGCCAGTGGAAATTAAGGTCACCAGATGGCCTGACGTGCCGCTGCGGATCGCAGCATCTCTCCCAAAGCGCCGAGGTTCTGCTGCCATTGCCGGGGGAGCGCAAAGCAGAAGCAGCCCGGGATGATCTCTTCCTAAAGGCCAGGGTGCAAAACCAGAGACCAGACTGCAGCAAAGCCCCCAACACCGAGTGCCCAGGCAGGATCCTGCCCGTCCAAACCTCCCCTTTGGCCTCCACCAGCTTTAAATGAGAGCTCGTCAGCCCTCGCTGGTCTCCGAGTTAACGACAGCCACAGGCTGCTCCCACAGGCCCCGCTCGCTGCCTTCCCTAGGGATGGAAATATCAATCCCCACTCGGCGCTTGAGCGGGAAAACAAAGAAGCCTGTGTCCTTACAAACAAGGGAGTCGCTCCGGGCTCTGGCGAGCGGGACGGCGGCACGGAGGCCAGCGAGGCTGGAGGCGGAGAGGCCATCGAGGCTGGGGGAGCAGAGGCAAGGAGGCCATGGAGGCTGCGCCGTGCATGAGCAGGCGGGTGCACCTGACCTCGGGGCAGAAACGCAGCAGGGCAGACAGCCCCCAATCAACAAATGGCTCCCAAGGAACCCTAGAAGAGTAGGCGCAAGCATAACAAGCTAATGAATATTATGTTTTGCACCAAAGGGGGGCATAAAGTCACTTTAATTACAATTATTAGATTAGATGTGATGCATGACCAGGGGAGGGGGCACATATCAAGGAGCAATATATGTCTGGCAGGGCTGGAAGTCCGTAACTTCCGAGCACTGGGCAAATGGGGAAAGGAGAGGGCTTCCTCAGTAGGGAAATTAGGAAAAAAGGAGGATGTGCCCTGCATTAAATTGAAAAAACCCACAGGGGAATGCCCTGATGGACTCCCCTTTATTAAAATGGACTCCTCTGTCTCCTTTGTGGACACTGGGTTCTTGACACGAGATTTTCCACGCGGACCCGGACAGGGATGCTGCGCGGGGGAGCGGGCCGGCCCCGGAACACCGCGCGCGCCGCCCCTGTTGCAGCGGGGACGCCGCGGCGGCGGTGCACGCCGGGAGCCAATATGGCAGCGCGCATGCTGCGCGGGCTGCGCCGGCCGCTCGCCGCGGCCTTCTCGCAGCGGGCCGCGGCCGCCGCCGAGTTCCGCAGCGCCTACAGCCTGGACAAGCTGTACCCGCCGCAGCGGGACCGGGAGCAGGGCGACGGCGGCGGCACCGGCGGCACAACCGTGAGCGGCGGCGGGAGTGGAGGGGGGAGGAGAAGGGAAGGGGCAAGGGGCGGGGCCACTAGGGGGCGGGGTCATGGTTGGAGGGCGGGACACGCGGGCGCTGCCGAATTGGCGCTCCGCTGAGGGGGCGGGGCTTTGGCAGAAGGGCGTGGTCGATGTGGGCGGGCGCGGCAGGGGGCTCGCCGTGGTAGGCGGGGCTTCTTGGGGGCGGGGCTTATCCTGAGTGGGGGGGAATGGGTGTGGCTTGCCGCAGAGGGGCGGGGCCCTACGGGTGGGCGGTGCTTGGGGGAGCAGTTGGTGGCTCGGGGCGGGGCTTAGCTCGGAGAGGTGCAGGCGAGGGGCGGGGTCTGCGCCTGTGGGCGGGGCTTCTCCCAGGGGGCGGGGCAGGGAGGCCTCCCGCCGTCGCGGCCTCATCCCGCCCGCCCTCCGCAGGAGCAGCGCGGCCCGGCGGCCCTCGACGTCCCCGTGGGTGAGTGTCGCGTCGCGTCGCGGCGTCCATGGCCACGTGCCGCGTGGGCACCGAACTCCCCGTTCGCCCTGCGCGAGGAGGCAGCCCGGGCGTCGAGAGCCACCGCGGGGCCTTAGGAGGACAGGGAGAATGGGATCCGTAAAGGAAACTGGGAAAAAAATATAAAAAAACAGCCAGGTTCAGGCAAAAAGCTTCTTTCAGACTCGCACCCAGCGTTTTGCATCACCCCTTTTTTCTGTTTTCCCTGCAAACGCAGCAGGGTTGTTTCTGCGGGGCAGCACACGGCTGTTCTTGTTTTTCAGATCGACTGACCGTATCCTACTGCCGGAGCAGCGGCCCGGGCGGCCAGAACGTCAACAAAGGTATGAGGGATCTGCCCTGACTCCCTCGGAGAATTCCCATGGGTTTTCCCAGTGTAGTAGGTGTTCCCCGAGTATTTTGATAAAATACTTTAAAAGGTTGAAATTTAAAGGCACTTTTGTTCCTGATTATTGTTAATGTTTCATCATTATCTTTTTTTCCTCCCTGCCCAGTAAATACGAAGGCGGAAGTTAGGTTCCATCTAGCATCAGCAGACTGGATTCCAGAAGACGTGAGAGAAAAAATGGCACTGATGGTAACTGCTCCCTCTCCTCCAGCCACGTTTAAATTTCACACTTCTAGCCAAAATGTGACGAGCATAATTAGGTGTCAGTGGTCACCTCACATTCATCCTTTTTTTAGCACAGAAAAAAGATAAACCGAGCTGGTGAGCTGATTGTGAACTCCGAAGAGAGTCGTTACCAAATGAGGAATTTGGCGATATGTTTGGAAAAGATCAGAGGTTTGGTGACAGAAGCCACTGAGAAACCCAAGGTGGTGTCTAAGGAGACTTCCCAGCAGCTCATAGAAAGGTACCTGTAACTGAGACAGCCTTTGGTTTCAGAGGGCTCTAGATTATCTTGTCACGCGATTTAGT